ATGACAATACATGAAGAGTGCCCAGGATACTGTGATATGATGATGCATCCTGTTGTAAATGTCTATAGACAGTTGATGATGATAATGAAAAGAGTCAAAGAGGCCTGTAACAAAATCCAGGAAAAGGCTGGGAGTGTGACATTCAGGACACTACCAGATTTATTCAAATATCAACATGGAAGGCAGTTGTCTTGGCCAGAGGAACTCTCCTCTCCATGAAGAACTGCAGTGAGAAATAATTTCAATGAGCTTAACACTGCCAATGAGCAACATGGGTCTTATGTATTTTGTCATCCCTTTTTGTACATAAAGAAAGTTGATACAGCATGTGGCATGTGTGTGCTACATGCAGACAACAACAGTCTTCTTGGTTACAGGAGTGAGTAGATACAAGTCATCATACGGTAAAAGCTTCAAGCAAATCATATCATACAAAATAGTGAGAGAAATCTACATATTAACAAAGAGATGGTTTCATTTGGATGTGAAGAGTATAAAAGTGGCTTCATCATTGCATTCAGTCATACCACATAGCTCATTTTTATATATCATTAACAGCAATGTTGAAAACTTCAATAAAAAACTTAGTCTAGATTAAAGAACATTTAAAAATCTATTTAGAACATACAGCATTAACAAATGACTCCAGTTTTAATTGGAGCTAATATGTTTTTTAGTTAAGGTAACGGCCCTAGCAAAATAGATTAAATTTTGTAATAATGCTTGCCACTGTCTGTACATAATGTTGATCACATGATGTAATGTTAGTAACAATAACAATTTCTAGTCCTGCCCACAAGGCCTTTGACATTCTTTCTTTCCTTCAACAGTAGCATTATAAATAAAAATATATAAACTGTGCTATGCACATTCTTCCTCCATCTTGTAAACACCCCGATTGCACTTGCAAGTAACAATGTAACTCTCAGGAGAGGCCACATTTGCTTACATAGATGGACTTAAATAAACCTGGTTCATTTCACAAGAACTGCAACAATCATTCCATTTTTAGTTAGCAATAGGCATTGAGGTAAATTTCTACACATTTTCAACTTTGGTACTATGATGAAGAGAGTAATCAGTTTCACATTTTGGTCAGACTATAGTTTCATCTAGAAACCATTTCAGTTGAAGGTTCCTGCTTATACAGACAAATTTCATCCATTTATGGATGCTAAAAGCTGTACCTGCAAGACAAGCATCATATATAAATGTACAATTTGTGCAATACCAAAAAATTTTACAAAACAAAAATTAAGATGGAATTTTCTTATAAAAATGAAAAATATTAAAGAATTCTTAACTTTCATATAAAACAACTTCCACATATAAATAATATGCTCAAATCTGTGTCGTTCTGAAGAAAATATCATATATATTATAAAATTATATATATATATACACACACACACAGGGAGATCATTTGTGAGCCTGCTGCAAATCATTTAGACAGTCCAACAGGAGGAACACACACTACTCATGTCAATCTGCACCACTTGCGTTCAGGCTCGTGGTGCAGATGACGGACAACAGCTTATATGCATTACAGTTTCTCTCCAATACTGACCCCCTCCCCCTGAAGTGAGCTTACATGTCACATGTCTGTCAACCATGATCCAAACCCCTGCTCTTGTACTGAACATTCAGTCAGTTGTGTTATGTTAATGTTAATTTCGCTGCTCGAAAACGTGCAAATGACCGTATTATTGTAAATTCTAGTAATCGTACAAAGGCCTTATGGAATATAATAAAGAAAGAAACAGGAAAAGGCTGTATTTCAAATCCGACTATTGCGTTAGAAATTGGTTCAGTGTTAGTTACAAACCCCCAGCTTCTTTCTTATCATTTCAATGATCATTTCGTAGAGATTGTTGATAGGATGTGTACCCATACAAAGGATATTAGACAGGTGCGTGTCCCTGCTAATACAATACCTCGGAATGCTAATATGATGTTTGTGGCTCCTATTACCGAAGAGGAGGTACTGAATGTTACTGGTAAACTAAAAAATAAGTATTCTTCTGGCTTTGATGAGATTCCGGCATCATTAATTAAACACTGCATACAGTTTATAAATAAACCGTTAACTTTCATATTTAATCTCTCATTAAACACAGGTACCTTTCCAAATTTGATGAAGATTGCCAAAGTACGGCCTATTCTAAAGAAGGGCCGAATTCAAGATATTACTAATTACAGACCAATTTCAATTCTTCCTGCATTTTCCAAAATCTTTGAAACTTTAATACACAATAGAGTTATAAGTTTTTTAAATAAATATAATTTGATTTCTAGTGCCCAAAATGGTTTCCGAGCTAATAAATCTACCTATACTGCTATCCAGTCTTTTCTTGAGGACATTTTGACAACATTAGATTCAAAACGATTTGCCATGGGCGTATTTTTAGATCTTACAAAAGCCTTCGATGTAATAAACCATGACCGGTTACTTACTAAATTGGACTTGTATGGGCTTAGAGGAAAAATCCATGAGTGGATGACCTCGTATCTAACGAATAGATTCCAATATGTAGAAATTTATCACCAGGACCATGTATCCTGTTATTCTAAGTCCTTTACCTCGTCACTTAAGGAAATTAAACATGGTGTTCCGCAGGGATCTGTTTTGGGTCCTCTGTTGTTTTTATTATTCATTAATGATTTGCCACATGCTATACCTCAGGCTAAGGTTGTACTATTTGCAGATGACACTAATATATTGTTCACTGATAACTCTCTTAGTTCTTTAAATATAAAAATCAAAAAGGTTATTGATCAACTAGAAAGTTGGTTTAATGTGAATCAACTTTTTGTTAACACTGACAAGACCAAAGTATTATTTTTCCATGGAAAAGGATCTACTTCTAGGAACAGACCGGTCATACGTTTATTCAATAGGGAATTAGTATATTCATCTTCGGTGAAATTCTTGGGTATTGATATCTCTGAAAATTTGAGCTGGTTGAATCACACTCAATATATCTGCCTTAAGCTGAGCAAGGCTCTATATCTGATCAAATCCTTACGTAATTCTGTTAGTTTACAGGTATTAAGAAATGTATATTTTACTAAATTTGAATCCATATTTAAGTATGGTATTATGTTTTGGGGTGGTGGAGGTAAAGAGATAGATACAGTTTTTAAAGTACAAAAAAAAATGCATAAGAGCCATTATGGGCATTGATAATCGGGCATCCTGCAGAAGGCTGTTTGGTGAGTTAGAAATTTTAACTGTTACTTCTTTGTATATACTGGAGATTTTATGTTTTATCATAAAAAATAGAATCTATACAACTCTGAACTCTGATGTGCATAATTACAATACAAAGCATAAACATAATCTGTATGCCCAACATTGTAATACAAATCGTTGTAAGAGAAGTGTGATAAACATGGGCATAAAACTATACAATAATCTTCCTTTGGAAGTTAAATAATGTATCTGATTTTAAAGTGTTTAGGAGGAAATTGAAGTGTTATTTGTTGCATAGTGCCTTCTACTCTCTTCAGGAGTTTTTTATATGTAAGATGTTGAAAAATGACTGTAATTGTTTGTTAATGCATGTGCTGGTGTTTTTTTTTATATAATTTATTTAAGTATTTATGTATTCTTTGATTATGTTAGGTGTGATTGTTATTAAATCTATATATTCTCTTTGACTTTATCCGATTGTATATTTTACAGTTATGGATGTAAATAAAATTATGAATTATTATGAATTATGAATTAAAGTTGCACATCAAAATGAGTGTCCATGTACAATACCCATATCAAAAATTAGAAGTTTCAGTTTCCAGAGAACAACACATAAAACTGTAAATCAATTTAGGAAGACAGGGTTGCTACTTGACAACAAGGCCCAAATGAAAACAGAGTGCTCACTGAAAAGAAAATGGATCAAAGGTGTGCCAGGCATAAACAATACCCTCCAAAATGTCTTAAAAATCTTGCACAAGAAACCTGAAATTCAAGTTTCAAGTTTCCTCTGTTTCTGGGAAGGAGCTACAATGAACGAATGTGAATACTTTGTGGAGGTGCAAGGAATATGTAACAACAGGCCATTTCCAAGATCTGCTTTCTTGACCTATGGGTTCTGTCATTTGTGAAATAGGTCTGAACACACACAGAAAGAGTTGACACAGGAACTTGTCTCCTGTCCACTGGACTGGTTGAACGATCTGTGGCAGCTCCTAAAACAGCCTACCTGTATGTGTGAATATCTCTCTCTTTCTTTATATATATATATATATTTCACATTAGCAAAATTTTTCCATTTACAAGTTAGACTATGGCATAAAGGACAGTTCTGCACTGCTGTTGGCTCAATTAATCACACAATCACCACATATATATATTCACTGGGTGAAATTTCAAGAGAAATAAAATTATAGTTTAACTCAATATAAGGGATTATAAATGTCATAAAATAAATTCTACAAAATATTTAGTCATGAATGTATTTACAATTTACTGTCATCTTTACCACTGACCAAAGATCCAAGAGACCCGACTGCAAGTGTGGAGTTGTGATACAAATCCCTGCAAATAGAATATAGGATCTGGAATGGGTTAATCAGTTGTTTTACTAGGCAAAACGATCCAGTTTAATCTGTTGATGAGAGATCTTGAAATGGCATCTTTACTCTTGTACTTAATGAACTAGAAGCACCCTTTGGTTTGAAGTGGATCTCACCTGAAAATGAGTGTTTTGGGCTACTTTCAATAGACTGAAGTAGGCAAAACTCGGCTCGCTTAGGTGAAGAGGCCTGTAGGTGTTGGTGAGAAACGTAATCTCATTTGCATTAGTGCGTGATGCAGTTCAATTAGCAAATTGAACTCCAGGCTCAGCAGCGTCTATCTCACTGCCACAATTTCCAAATTTATATACATTTTGACTTGAAATTGGCAGTGAACAATCATCTCAAGGCTACTGAATGCGGGTGGATATCCTGTCTGGAAGATTACTTGGCTTTCCTCAGCCTCTCCAGGCATGTAGCATCTGCTTGGCAATTTACTAGATGCTGTTAGTGTCACAAGTCATAACCGAAGGTCAGTGAGTCCCATTCGGTCGCTGGTCTTGTTGCTGCTTGCTCACAGCCTTCCTTGCCTCATCAGGAAGGCGTGAAGGGTCTGTCAATATGTCTGTAGCTGTGCACAGGTACCGCAGTGAATTCAGCACCGCTAAAACATGAAACATAAAATATAATATATAAAATATCATAATTATCTGTGAAATGAAACAATTTTCCCTTTATTTGCCTTTTCTGAATTTTAATTGGATGCTTATCACAGACTTGCAGTTGTTCTATTCCTGGGTAAAAACAGTACACCCAAAGCAAGTCCCACATATAATGTAAGCTGCATGTCATGTGTGGCGCTCAAGAACAGATGGGCAAATGACTGTGATGGCATTCAACACTGACAGTTTACTTTTTGCATCACCTGATGCACTGTATGGGATTTAAGGTCCGAGGCTTCTTGCAAATTTTCGTAACAAGCTTATTTTTTTACGGCGAGGAGTTGTTGGCCCTCTGCCCAACCCCCAAGCTGGAGGACCACCCCCTGTCGGCTGTCCTCGACTGCTTCAATATATTCGCAGTTACCCTCCATATCTGGAGAGTGTCTCCTCCATCCACAACCTGAGGACATGTCATGCCGTGGTGACAAGGGACCCACCTTGGGATGGTAAAGATTGGATTGATCTGGCTCAGGAGAGGGACCAGTGGAGGGCTCTTGTGAACACAGTAATGAACCTTAGGGTTCCATAAAATGCTGGGAAGTTCTTGAGTAGCTGCACAATTGGCAGCTTCTCAAGAAGGGCTCAGCTCCATTAGTGACTACAGGATTTAAACCCCTGTACTATGGGGACGGTGGTTAATTTTAAATCGGACGTTTCAACTAGTAATGACATTAGTACTGAAAAAATGTATATGTCATTGGGAATTTTGTAATAAAAAGTACTTTCAGAAATACACAGTTAATTTCTATTGTTATCTTCATAATATAAAAACTGTTGTTCCAGAAAAACTGACAGATTCCAGAAATAAAACAAATAGCAAAGCTCTGCTTGCTGCCTGCTTCATGTTGGTTCCTTGCTTGGCTTCCCCGTAATACCTAAATATGGAAGTGATGTGTTCCTCCTGAATGACAGGCGTTCTCTGCATACTACCCAGCTCTTGGTTCCTACTGGCTCACCCAGAGTAGTGAGCCAATGGGGACTGGGCTCTGACCCTCTGGTCCCTGTAATTGTTATCTTGACTGACTGCTCACTCTGCCTACCCACTGTTCTCGCTGGTTTCTTGCTCAGCCGATTTTAGACCCTGAAGATGGAGGTGATATGTTCCTCCAAAATGTCGGCTCATATACATACTACAGGGTGCTATATGCCAGAAGATGGAAAATTTGAAAATGAAAATTATATTTTTTCAAGAGCAATATATATCGCCCTAGCCCATGCATAATACAACTACACAGATCAGGGTCTGTGTTAGAAACATCCGACAGTGGTCCACCTCCCACCCTCACCTTCACTACCAGCTACAAACATGCACAACACTTCTATTTATTATAGTGTGACGTGTTGCGCTATGGAGGACATCCCCCTTCCTCCCCAGCGGTGACTTGGCACTGGAGCGCTGTCATTGCTACGGTAATAAGCAGGTCAACACAACCCCCCCACCCCCACCAGCGGTGACATGCCAAGCAGAGCCGAAGTGAGCCGAGTCCAAGCACACTGGTCGCTATGTGAAGCGAGTAAACAGTGGTTGCTAAGCAAAGCAAGTAAACAGTGGTTGCTAGAGATGATAGTAATAAACAGCGGTACCCATTACGTAACAGGCAAACATGGCGACTAGGCAACAAGGAAGCAAGGCGTTTTCCCCTTGTCCGGCTGAGGGTTTATAAGAGAACTACACTGCCTACGAAGTCAGTTAAAGTGTAGCAACCTATGAAACAAGTTAAAGTGTGTTGGCCGCCGAAGTGAGTTTTCAAGGCAGCAGCCATGCAGTGAGTTGGAATCTAGCAGTCGTAGTGGAAAGAAGAACCGGACGTGTGTGATAATTAGTGATAGTTTGTGATAACTGAGAAGTAACTGGAAGTGTGTAATACAGTGACTTATATAGCTCCCGTACTGTGAATACGTGTAAACTACTGAGGACAGTGTGAAGAGATTTGTGTGTAGGGTTTGTAAAGTGTGGAAACCCATAACATTGTTATAATTAATTGTAACCAATACTTGTACTTTATCTTTCATCTTCCATCTGACTCACTCGCATGTTAACACTACACAGCTGACAAGGCTTTCAACAAGTGCATATGGTACACTAACTGAGCATTAATGTGGAAAGCACAAAATTGGAGCCCAACCCTTTCAGGCTAACAACAAACCTCAGTGCCAGTGTTTATACATCAGTCAGAACAAGAGAGCATAATGGAAGTCTATACATGAAGACAAGACTTCAGTGCCACAGTTTCTATAGGCTGGCTAGAAATAAACAGGTATTTTAGCACTGTTAATACTGCAGAACTAAAATAATAATAAGCACACACACAAATGAAAGGCACAGCTGATGCAGATTAAATTTTTCAAGGGCAGGTTTTTAAGTCCTCAAGGCCAGGTCAGGTATTTGCAACACTGTAAAATAACCTGAATATACGTTCAGGAATTCGTGAAGCAACTTGTTTTCATTTGCTTATACCATTTACAGAGACAGTATGGGAACGTTACCTCATACATAGCTAAAAGAAGGTAGAAATAAACATTCATGTAGAGAATTATTTAAGAAATTAAAAATTCTACCGCTTCAATCGCAATACATATTATCGCTTCTCCTATTTGTTGTTTACAACAAAGATAAATTCAAATTAAATTCTGATGTCTATAACATGAATACGAGACAAAAATATAACTTCCACCTACCCTCATCAACTTTATCAGTATATCAAAAAGGAGTCTACTTTACTGGCATAAAAGTGTTCAACAATCTGCCACAAAGTATTAAAAACTTGGGCAATGATACTAAAAAGTTTAAATCAGAGTTAAAGAATTACCTACATGCTCATTCCTTCTACTCTTTAGATGAATACTTCAATGTAAATAGAGAATGATGTAAAATTAAGTTATATTAATTTTTAAGCTAAAATTGCCTGTACTTATGTATGTAACCTTTTGACTTGTTCTGTATCCAAAGGTACTAACCTGCTTAGGATTTATAAATGTAAATAAATTCAATTCAATTCAAATTCAATTCAATTCAATACATGGATCATCACATTTTTACAGAATGTAGAATAATTAGCAAATTTAAAGTGATACATAGCCAAATATGGCCAGTAATGATGGTTTGATCTCGCGGTAAATTGCAATGGAGAATAGTGTACACTTTTCTAACTACTGCCATCTACAGTTGCATTCTGGTGTATGAGAGTACACATAGTTATGCAATGGGCATGAAAGGTTACTGGGGAAAAACTGCTACCTGGCCGAAGGTCTGCAAGGGAACAGCGCTGCTCTACCCAGAGCAGTGTTGAACGATAGAGATCCTCCAGGCTAGCTGTTGAGACAGCTGCATTGTATGATTGAAGAAGGGGCTCCAGCAAGATGCTTAACTGTACTCATGTTAAGGCAGTACAATCTTACAGCAGAAACGTTCACGACCTGTTGTAACAAGTCACTACCACACTAACATGATTCTCTGTCAACTGTTTACAATGACCGGATGCTTGTATGCTTTCAATATTCTGTTAGCATTAGTTGAATATTTTGAAATGAGCATTCCATTCCAGTTTATGAAGTCAGATTTTTTGTTCATTTATTTAGTCCAAATAGTTAACTAAGCAGAATATCTCAGTAACTGTGCAGCTATGCACAAACAGAAATGACTATAATGATTTGTTCAACAAAGTTTTCTTTTCCTTCATTTCTCTTCATTATAGTTCAAGCTTCTGAATTCTGGTGCCCTTTATACATAAGGCTAGGAACACACACAGAGACATAGGTCGTACAATTTTCTTGCCGTACGACCTCATTTTCTCACTAGAGCAACCAAATACATTTCTTTGCTCTCCGACTGCCGTACGGTAGATGTCGCATGTCATCATGTACAAAAGCTAAGCCTACACTTTATATTCTATTACTTGATGTGACACGAACCGTACAGATGTCATACGACCAATGATGCTGTGTGTATTCTAGGCCTAATACTGACTGTTTCCTGAGCAAGAAGAACCTGTGCCATGGACTTAGCTAGAGCTATGTTTCAAAATGTGTACACATTAAAGACTGCATCTTCTACCAGTCCGCATGAACAACTTCATACCAGTTCCAAAATTTCACCCCAAGTGAGGAACTTTGAAATACAAAGAAAGCTGAATATTGGAACTCGAGGTGTCAAGAAACAGACGGCAATGAATAATACTGGCTCAGGAAGACATGGACCTAAAATGGACCATGATCATAAAATAATAAAAGAATGTAGAAAACAGCAAAAAGAGATTCATAATTTGCAGACATTTACCAGTTATTAAGGTGATCAGATGATGAAGAATGTGATGGAATGGATGATGCAGGAAATGAAAAATGCATACAAAATGTTGGTTTGAAAAGCTCAAGGGGAAGAAACCACTAAGGAAACCTAGGCACACATTGGTCAATAATACACAGGCTACTTTTGAGCAAGATCATCACACTACAGATGGCTGACCACTTCACACTTCATCATGAACATCTGTTCGCTTGCCTATCTTTGAACATTCTATGCCATTGTCTTACAGATCCTTCACTCACTACATTTTGGACATAAACCACTGTGCATAATTCACAATGGATTTCCACAGCACTCATGTATTTGGCATGAAGGAAGCAGATAACAGTATGAATTTTGCAGCTGGTGGGATTACCAATCGTAGGACACATCATAACTTGCTCTGTAGAGACAAGAACAAACACTAGGTGACCAGTTTAAGGTCTTTCATTCTGGTCCGTCACACTAACCAATTAACAATCAAGTTTCTTCCGTCAAATGTGACACTTTTTTAAGTTTTCCACCTCGTCAGCACCTGCCTTACATGTTTCGGCTCACCACGGAGCCATCATCAGAGGCATTTATAGTAGAAAAAGAAATCACCAACACACAAAACTTCACTTTGTCCAAGATAGCCACGTTCCAGTTAATTAAAATAATTACAAATAGTTAAAAT